TCTAGAGTTGGAATTATGCTAAATGTCAAGACGTTCAATTCTCTACTGGATCCCAGTTATTATTACTATATTTCACACTTGTCTGAGGACAGGTTGTGTACCAAGAAAATCATGGTACAATTATCTTTATTAAAAAGGAAATGTTCCCTGATTTGTTTGTGGGCTGAATACTGTCAGGTTGCCCAGGCCAAGGCAGGTGAATTTTTCTCGAGGAATCCGCAACCGGAACCTTCGGCTAGCCGAAGCCTGACCCACAAGGCAGCGGGTCGGTGTGTGAAAACCGCAGTCCATTGGGAGCCGGTGTCCAGTCCATCGAATCATGTGCCCTTCGGACGGGGTCAGACGTCCAAGGTGCCCAATGCACCTCAGTCAATCCCGGTTATTAGCCGCCTTTCCGCTGTACATTCGGTACGGATCAACAGCTGGTGCTTATTCCTGGTATCCGTATATGTAACGGTTCAATTCAGTTCGCCAAAAATGAGGGATGAATTCTAAATAGATCTCTCAACTGTTGAAAGTGCTCGGTTGTCGGACATCGTGGTGGTGCCTGGTTGCTGATGCCCAAATGGAATCCCCGGACGAATCAGAAAGTCTTCTTGGTGGTGCATATCCAATCGCAGCTAATCGAACTGCCAATGGAGAACGCTTACTCCAACTTTACGCTGACCACGGACTGTTCTTGTCAAGCACAAAACTGTCTCACAAGAAATGACACCGTCTTACCTGGAAACCGTCTTCCTCTTCACAGTGCTGGACTCAAAACGACCACATCGCCATTAGCCACTGCTGACGAAGATCCATTGAAGATTGCAGCTCCTGCTAGTTAACACCCGTGGATACGCACCATACTCTGCTACGAGCGAGATTCTCCGTACGCTTAGTAAGCAATCGTAGAAAAGCCACCGAAAACGGATGCTCGCGATACAGTGTCAGCAATGGTTGCAAATTGGCCTTCGAAGCGAAAGTGTATGACCCTATTTCAGCCCAACCATTAGCCGAAGGACTTAGTGAACACTGGATGCCAATCAAGGAAGCCATCCAAATATGAATCAGAATAACGACGGTTTATGGCGCACAATCAAAGCAAAAAACGACGGATCTCCTCGATCTCGGCTTACCTTGCTGGGCGCTTGCAAGGCGGTTCCTTCTGATGCTAAATACGTATAAAAAAAACCATGAACTACTGATGATTCCCTGCCTCACCGTACAATTTCCTGATCGGTCTCCTTC